CAAGCAGAATTATATTTTGTAATGGACCAGTAAACAAGGCAAAAATTGAAGCGTTCTGATACATGGCTTTTAACCAAAAAACGTTAAACACTACTTGCAAAAAGGGACTTACTGAAATCAACTCCAAACTAAGATATCAACGTTTTTGGTTTACATTGGTTACAGGAATTTTGAATTCCCCATTCACAAGAAAAACAATGGTCTACTTGAATCAAATCGCACATACCACAACAGTTTTGGCAGGCTTCTTAATCAAGCCATATAATAACTACGTGTAACAGCTGAGCCAAAGATCCAAAATCGAGGTTGCCATCTTTGCATACCGCAGAGACTGTTACAGTAACCCTTACTGCGCAATTTGTCTCAACTAGACTTTAATTTTTCCATGAGCACAAGGTTTGAATTCACGCGTCAAAAAATGTTAAACAGCTTAATTAGAGTTACTTTCATCAGTTTCTGTTGCGAAAATCGTGTTCTGGGTAAAATTCTCGTTACGACATGTATCAGAATGTGTTAATTTGTACCTTCTAAACTGGTCCATTAGTAGACTTGCGGGAAATTATGAATTTACTGATATTCAACTTAACATGGCAGCATACCACTGTGACCACCCCTTCTTGATCCGCCAATGCTTCAAGTTTTGAAAAGCTCAAAAAGTTAGCGATTAAAACTGTTGTCAACTTTCAGTTCAATATAAGTTGATTGAAGCTAGCTGGTTTACATTTACCAAACAGAGATAAGTGTGATCAAAATCAACACAATTTCAATTCTATTTTCCTCAATAAATAGTACCTTGTAAAGCCACCCTCCTACAAAATGCTCTTCAATAGTTACTCACCTCCTCCCATCCAAAAAAAAATCGAATTCAAGAAACACAAATTGAATAAAATTGCATAATTTTTTAACATTTAATTTAGTATTAACAATATTAAATGATACCTCAATAATAAAATTTAACAAATCAAAAATACATCATCAACATCTCATAGAATGATCTAACAAAGGCAGTGGTAGGTGGCATTGCTGTGGAATGAACTTCGGGAAAATAATTATGAGTTGTCATCGTGGCTTGGAGCATAAAGAGATTTTTTTCAATGAACATAAGAATTACATACTAATATTGCAGCACAAGAGTTCTTGAAAAAATATAATTAATCTCGTTCATAACAGAGTCATTTTAAATCAAGTGAAATCAGCCGCTCATAGGCATTATGGTAAATAGGTTTAGCATCTTAGGACTTTAAGTTCCAAACTATTGAAATTTTTTCTTTAATCTTTTGTTTGAGATTAACTGCTAAGGCTTGTGGAGAAAAGCTACTGGTTTTCAAGGGGTCCAGGGGCTGGACGAAACAGCAAAAAAAAAACAACAACAACATCTCTGAACTTGCCTATGTTAAGTGTTTGGTCTGGCCTATTTGACTTATGAGGGGGGCTTAGAAGTGACTAATTTCAAATTAGATGCAGTTTACAGCGATAAAAAATTTAAGCACAGCTAATTGGCATGGTGCAAAATGATGAATCCTGCATTAGATTTTTGTACGTAGTTTTTCCCAACAAACCCTGTCAATTGTGAAGTTGAGTTGAAGCAAATAAAAATGCAATTATTACAACTATTAAAACAGCAACTCTTGAAACAGTCACTATCAGCTGGAAGATGCTACTACAGATTTTGAAATTAACCTATTTTAGAGAACTTTCTTATGGAAAAGACTAAACTAGAATTTGTACATAACACACTCGAAATGGGGAATGGTAAATTGTTTGAGTTCCAACCAATTCACAAACTAACAAAATTGTTTATGCATGCACTTAATTAAGCGTTCATTGGGAAGACATCAACAATGTTTTCAGAAGCTTTAATTACACCCTCATGTTACTGTTTTATTACAGCTAAAGCGAATTTCAGCTCATGCTTTACGGAAGACTTTACTTTAAGACAACAACTTTGGAAAATTTATGTTCAATAAATGAGTTGAGAAAGTGCCACCATCATACTTTTTTAATACTTAACTAGTTGTCAAGATACCAGCAAGAGTCCCTTTTGAGGAAAAACCATTCTCAAGAAAGAATTAAAAGGGCACCAGAACTGATTGGCACTAAATAACAGCAGAATTTGTTCCTCTCCACTATTGGGAGCCAACTTCTTCCGGATAATCTTATGATATTTTACCTAAAAATGAGAAGAGAAGAAAAGTAGTTAGAATTCATTCAACAGAAGTTGCTTCAAAAGCAAAAAATTAGGATACTTGAAGCGACCCTGCATGGGGAAGCAAAGGTATTCTGACCCGCCTAAATTTCATTATTATTCAATATTATATTCTTTGCGACTTTCTAAGCACAATGAATTTTTAAACGTAAAATTTCAATATGCAAAGGTCGAGACAAGCAGGGCTGAAAAAATAATTTTTTGGCCTTTTTATAAGTGTTTTCCAATGGAGCTGTGGGATTCCTGGTCTGTGTGTAAAGATGTTGCGCCTCACTCTGTCATCATTTGGAAAATTTGACTATTTTTGTCTATCTTATCTTCCTGGCCAGTAAGGAAACAAAAGCTCCAAACATCCAGTCGGATGTTTCATCATATCTACTTAATATTGCATGAAAAATGCAGAAAAATTCACTGTTTGGCCCTGCTTTTCTCAAGCCTGGTACATAGAAGGTTAGAGTTTGAGAGCTTATTGTGCCCAAGAGGTCAAAAGGAACATTAAACAGAATTTAGCAGATGCTGAGGTACTTGGTTTTCTAGATAGGAGCCCTTTTGACACTGAATTTGCGAGTCAATGCTGAGGTACTTGGTTTTCTAGATGGGAGCCCTTTTGACACTGAATTTGCGAGCGAATGCTGAGGTTCTGTTTTGTTTAATTTAGTTATATTTGTAAAGACATAACGACGGTGAAAGTCGGCAATCTCATAACTTGGTTTGCAACGTCGCAGACTTACTGTCATACTTTATTTTTTAAACGGAAAACTACTCAACAGCAATTCCTTAAAACTGCCGTGATTTTTCTTCTCTGTGCAAAGAAAATTCTGCAAAAACTTCAAGGAATGATGTCAATTTGTTCTCCTTTAAAAAAATAACACAGAGGCGGAGACTTTCAGACACCGCAGGCGAGATATGTGATTGCGGACTTACACCGTTGATAAGCTTTGAATTGAGTATCGACACCCATACTGACTTTGATGGATCTATACCTCTAGAGGAAAATCAAAGGAAATTAGTGAGTGTCTTGACAGAATGATCAATTGATTGATAGAATTGCTTCACTACTTTTGAGGCAGGAGAGTTGATAGCATTCAAAGAACTCTGAAAAATTACTTGCAACGTAGGAATAAATGCAAGGACCTAAAAACCTCATTTGAGCTGCATACTCATTTTGAATAAAGATCTATGCACAGATTAGTCCAGATCGCTAACATCCAATCTAGCCAATGCTTAGAAAGCGTGAGTAATTTTGCTACAGGTTAGGCAACTTTAGAAAATTGATGGCACTACCAGTAGTGAAAGAACTTGACCGGATCGAGAGATATTTCCTCTTGAATCTGATTATAAAGCTTTAATAAAGTATAAATAGTAATGTGTAATAATGGTTTTTGATCAAATTAGATTTTATCAAGTACTGTTATGCTAAGTATTCTGTTTCAATATTCTTACAATAGTTAAGCAATTAACTGCTCTCATGGGGCCTGGCGGGAATTCAAAACTAGGAACCAACAGTCTCATTTTGCTAGGATTTTGCTTTAATTTTCGGTTTCTAAGGCTTTAAACTTCAAAAATATGATATATTATAATCTGGCGGTGAAGATCGATTCATCCAGAATAGATGAGAGATAGACATTCCAAATTAAGGGGGAAAGTGCTGCATCCAATCAGCTGGTTAGCACTTGTTCACCACTTGTTGCATAGCATGTTTGTTGTTGTGGACCATTGGGGACATCCCAGGACAATACCCTGATCAACCTTGCTCTGCAATTAACTTTGGTAAGTACTTATCAATATTTGATGTCCTAGGTACATTCATGCAGCATACATCCTTAGAGATTCATCATTACTATTCATCCCTTGCATTGATCAAATATTTACCAAAAAATGATGCTTAGTAAAGCTGTGGTGCGGGATACTATGAAAATGGTCTGCAGTGACAAGTAATGTTAAAGCTCCTCCTCTGCAGGCCGATTATCGAAAATACTGGTTTGTTTGGGGGATTAGACTACATTAAGATAGGATGGAGGTATGTGTTGGGTCAGCTGTGTTCATCGCACAACTGGCAGCTGCATCGCAAACCCTTGTTGAGTGGTCCAGTGAAGAAGAGTAAATGCTGGTAATCTTGGTAAGATTCTGCAAAATTGATTTAATAAAACCACTTAAATCCTTAGTTCTTCGTTTTTTTTTCCCGGAAAAGAAGCTGAAAATCCTGTAGGGGTCCCTTCTACAAGTCATTTTCAAAACACTGTAACTTGGTCATTTTTTGACTTAGAGAGCTCGGATTTGTCTTGTTTTATCGGTAATTTCTCGGTCTTGAAGACTACACAAACCGCATTTTGATATCTGCTACCGTTCGTCCAAAAAAAAAACGTGCAGTTCTTTTGGGACAACCTATGTAATTGAATCCTATCAAACCCCTATCATACCCCATCAGACTCTTGACGTTCCTGACATCCCTGCTAGAAATTTCAGCAGTAGTCGTGAAAGAGCTTCAGAAGAAAAATCGGGTGGAACCACCTCTGCCAGCACTACAAAGAAGAAAATTACCTCTGATAATGATTCTGAGAACTTTAAGGAACTGAAATGGAAATCAAGCAGGACGAATCACTCCCAGAAAAATTAGGTTGCGCCTTAATATGGTAGATGAGAATGAAACTCCAAGAAAACGCAAACTACGCAGGAAACTACAAAAGAAAGTGTCAAGAATCCACAGGCTTGAGATGAGAGAGCGTCGAAGGAAAAATAAAATTTCCAACCTAGAAAAATTTTGGAGGAAGTGAAAAAGTCACTCTAAAGTCAAATGACCATCTTGCAGTCAGTTTGCTCTGCCAATAAGGAGTTTTTGCAACGGCAAATTGCCGCCAGTACCAAAGAAACGTCGCAAAAAAAGTACGGTAAAGAACTAAGAAAATTTGCCCTGACATTACATTATCTATCTCCCAAGGCATCCTACTTTGTGCGTAAAATTTTCAAAAAGGTCCTGCCTTGTGAGTCCAATATCAGAAAATGGTACAAAGTTCTAGATGAGAATCCTGGTAGGACGGCGGAAGCCTTTGAAAGTCTGAAAAGGCGGAGTCAAGAACACAAGGCCAAAGGCAAATCCATCCGAGGCTACCTATCATTTGACGAGATGAACATAAAGAAGAAAATAGAATTTGATGGGTCTCGCTACTATGGCATTCCTGACATGGGTATTGATGTAACAGATGATGTTACCAAGCCAGCCACGGAAGCTTTAGTTTTTCTTTTTGTTTCTAGCGATGGCTCCTGGAAGTGTCCTTTGGGCTATTTCTTGGTAAATTCTTTAAATGGAGAAAAAAAGCAGAGCTTGTTAAGCAAGCATTGGCTCAGCTCCATGATGCTGGCGTGAGAACGTATTCTGTTACTTTTGACGGAGCATCTGCTAATAGCAAAATGATATCAGACCTTGGTTGTGATATCAGTGATACGAATAAGTTAAGAACTTGGTTCAAGTGCCCGTACAGTGGTAACAAAATTTATGTGTTTTATGATTTTTGTCATATGTTCAAATTATTAGGGAATCTGCTCGCTGATCGTGAGGAACTAATCGATGATTTCGGAAAGAAAGTTGAATGAGAGCTCTTGGTGAAACTGTTCGAATACCAAGATGTAGAAGGCTTACACCTTGCAAATCGTAAAAAGAAACAGCACATTTATTTCGGCCGTCAAAAAATGAAAGTCAAGCTAGCTAGCCAACTATTTAGCGAGTCAGTGGCAGATGCCTTAGAAGTTTGCAAAGAGATGAAGCTAGAGGGCTTCAAAACTAATGAGGGCACAATTAAATTCATTCTTTTATTAAATGATTTATTTGACATATTTAATACCCGCTATGAGACTTGTAAAGGGTTCAAAGAACCCCTAAATAAAGGAAATTTTGCCAAAGTTAAATATCCGTTGGAAGAGATAAAAAAATATCTAAAAGGTTTAAAGGTACTGGCTACTGAAAAGGAATTATCGATGAAAAAAAGGATCAAACAAGGACTAGATGGTTACATTCCTTTAATTGAGAGCAAGAGAAAAGTGGGACCTGTAGGATTCTTAATTTCCATAGAGTCTCATCGATCTCTTTGAAGATGTATGCCACGGCGATAACCCATTGGAGAAAAATATTTGCACCAACAGCCTGTGTTAGGATAACTTAGAATTATTTTGTGGGCTGATTAGAATGCAAGACGGATGGAATAATAATCCTACTGCTCGCCAGCTTGAGACATCTTGTAAACGGTGCCTTGTGAACCTCAATTTGAAAAGCCCTGTTACTGGTAACTGCATTCAAGATGAGGAAATGCCAATTCTTGACTGCAGCAGCCAAGAGAAGAAAAAAAAAGAAGTACTTGAGAGCGAACCTAACTATGAAGACAAACTACAGTTTGATTTTGTTGTACGACAACTTTCAGAAACAACTGGAAAAAAATTCATAAGGCCGAAATGCACTACGGCTCATCTATGTGACAGAATCATGAATTTCTACAAAGAAAAGTAGATTCCTGCAGAAATGTTCCAAGCCCTTAATAATGCTCAATTACCAGACCCAAATGCTGTACTTGAGCACAAATTTGGTCTCATTAAGAATATTGCAGCAAAATTCTTCACCCTCAGGCTTCGTCATATTGCATCAAACTGGATTGACATCTCTGAATCTCGCCGTCAGTTTTTCAACAAGCTGACTTTGTTCCATGGATACTGAACCCTCAAACTTTCAGACTCACTCATTTATTGTTTCATTTTTGTACGTAATGATTTTTTACAAGTGGGTGGAATTTTGAAAAACCCAACTTATATGGAGAGGAAGAACTCTTCTGTTCAAAGAATTCAGCAGAAGTACTCAGAAAGTCCCTTCAACAAAATATAATTTTCATGATCCGTAGGATTATTTCCTGCGACATTTCTGTTAAATGTTAAGTTTTCTGAGAGATGCATCATTAATAAATGTTTTCATCTCATGGTTCCTCATCATTAATTACAAAAGGAGGAATAATTTTTCTTAGTTAGTTCCTTCAACAGTTTTTAAAAATTAAATTTTAATTATTTATCATGAAAAAAACATTCAGAATTTGACCTAATCGTTTTTAATGGTAAACTTTACAACCCGCTAATGAGTCCCTTCTTGTCTCCTAAAAAATTGGCTCTCTCCTGTGAAATGAAGCCGAAATAATCATCTGTAATAATAATGAGATGGAGCCACTAATGTTCTTCATTCTGTGTAAATCTTGTTTGTTTGCAGGTTTGGAAATTATACTTTTCAGAAAAAATTTCAGAAAAATATAATTCAGCAATCATCAAACATCATGTGAACTGCAGGTATAAAATTTGTTCCCCTTGCTTCTATGGTCCACTGTTTGTCCAGTGCTTGGTTTTAAAAGTTCTTCCCTCCAACTCACCATTTCTCACTTTTGCTGATTTTTTCTACGGAAAGTCGCTTACTTTTTATTATTAATGACTTTTTTTCATTCATCTTAAAATTTTTATTTTGTCCCCATTTAATCTGTCGATTATGCAGACTCATCTCTCTTAAGGGCTGAACGATTGCTTTTCCTTTCTCAGTAGCTTGCAGAAAAAATCTGTTCAGGAAATAAAAGAGAAAAGTTACTAATTTTTGGTGATTTCATGCACTAATACGAGGGTTGTCCCAAAAGAAACCGGACTTTCGTCATAGAAGGCGAACCGAGCGTTGTAATGAAGTTTTCTTGGGCTTGTTTGAAAGCTGATAAGCTATTAAAGATGCTTGTTTTTACAGAATGCAAAAATTCGTCTTGGTAAGGAAACTACACGCTTTGGAATAAAGGAAAGTCAAACTCGAGTTGCGATTTTTGTCTTTATGTCAAAAAAAATTTAGATACAACTTAAAAAGAAACCCAGGTTTTAAGTTGAAAACTTCGTTGCTCTCTTCTTCAAATGCTTAAATATAAGGAAATTAAAATTTTAAGCAGCTTACCATGTCATCACCTATCCCCTTCAAAATACTCGCCAGCTTTGTCGATGAATTTTTGCCACCGTTTCTTCAATTGGGAGAAACACTGTTGGAAATCCTCAGGTTTGAATGATCCCAATTCCTTCAAGGTGTTCTCTTGAATTTACCGAAAGGACAAACTGTCAATCGCGAATATTCCAATGGTGTTCTGAGACGATTACGCAAAAATGTCCGCAGAAAAATAGGCCTGAGCTTTGGGGAGAGAATTCCTGGTTTCTGTATCACGATAATGCACCTGCCCATGCATCCCTCCAAATTCGCGAATTTTGTGCAAAGAATGCCATGAGTGTCCTCCCTTATCCCCCTGACCTAGCTCCGTGTGATTTCCCTTATTTCCACGACTTAAATCTACCTTGAAAGGTCGACGTTTTCAAACCATTCCGGAAATTCAAGAGAGCACCTTGAAGGAATTGCGATCATTCAAACCTGAGGATTTCCAACAGTGTTTCTCCCGATTGAAGAAACGGTGGCAAAAATGCATCGACAAAGCTGGCGAGTATTTTGAAGGGGATAGGTGATGACTTGGTAAGCTGCTTAAAATGTTAATTTCCTTTTTTTTAAGCATTTGAAGAAGAGAGCAACGAAGTTTTCAACTTAAAACCAGGGGTTTTTTAAGTTGTATCTATATATTTCTTGAAATAAAGACAAAAATCGCAACTCGAGTTTGACTTTCCTTTATTCCAAAGCGTGTAGTTTCCTTACCAAGACGAATGTATGCATTCTGTAAAAACAAGTATCTTTAGTAGCTTATCAGCTTTCAAACAAGCCCAAGAAAACTGCATTACGCTCGGTTCGCCTTCTATGACAAAAGTCCGGTTTCTTTTGGGACAGCCCTCGTATTTGATGTTTTCTTATTTTGAACCTGTTCTTTGGTAACTGGTAATTTGGTGATAGATAAGAAAAATGCTGCTTGTTCTCCAAACAAAATACCTTTTCGACTATTTTTCCTCTTATGTAAAAACTATCTGACATTCATGCACTGGTGCGGAAAAATCTATCTAAGTTATGAGGTAACTCAGGACGTGCAGTTTGTGATATTCTTTTAGTTTGTTATTTGCCTCTGTCTTTACCTTTCCAATCAGATCACTAAAGCTTCACTTTTCCAAGTTTCTTTTCTTCACCTTCTGGCTTGGCACACAATAATTCTCATATTTTCTTTTATCATTTAAGCCTTATGAGAAATGTAAAGAGTAAGTACATAGAGGAAGAACATGGTAAGAGACATGAGACCTTGTTCAAACTAAGTCTTTAATTTTGTTCAAAAGAGGAACTGGAGCAAAACTTTTTCCTAGTACATCGTTGAAAATGAAATGAAATTCCTCTGTAATGAAGAGTTTAAGGTAAGAAGAAAATTTGCATCCAAAAATTTCGAGATAGTCTTGTGTTTCAATGCTTGAAAAAAATGTTTCATTTGTTCAACTCAGCGAACCGATTAAGTGACTTACCATATTCTTCACCTGTTTTGCTCATTTATTATTTTTTTTT